TTTGGAGAATGGATGGGTAGGTGTTGAACTGTAGTGCTACTAATTTATAGTTTACAGGAAATTTTGAAATATCTCCCTGGAAAACATAAAATAATCTAGTATCTGAAGTTGAAACCTGCCCTTTGATTTCTTAAATTTATATGAAGTGGAGTACTCTTGAGTTTCAACTGGCACAGATACATTGATACACTTTGAAATGGGAAAATATTATTAAATAATGTTTTGCTAAAGCAGTGGAGACTAGTTCTCACAGGAAAATTTTGGAGAAAGAACTTAAAGCCGTGAGATAACAAGTTTGAAACAGCTTCCTAGTAAAAACCTTGGAGCAAAAGCAAAGGATCATGACAGCTGAAAATTTCTGTAGAACAAAAAAACTTCAAAATCATTTAGGTCTCAAAATGAAAAGCGGAATTGGACTTCTATATATTTTAGCCATGTTTGCTAATATCACATTTTAATTTGTAAAGACTGGATAAGTGCCCAAAAGTAGTGTCATTGTATTGAAAAATAAAGCTTTAAGAGACTCAACATACTTTTCTAGATATTATGACAAAAGTAAGGTCAGTAATTGGAAAATGCGACTCGGGAGGTTTATAACCTTAGAAGGTCATATCATATCTTAAAACACAAGTTAATTGAATTTCCAAGAGACTCAAACTTCCACTACTCCAAACGCAAGAGTAGAAATGGAGTTTTCAAAATAGCAGGAATCAGCCACATGCAAAATATAACAAAATTGAAAGATATTTATATATCTTAATTATCATAAACAAGCGATCAAGATAATGATGGGAAGCACTTACAGCGTATTCACTTTGAAGATTGAGCTTGTAATCATAGAAATTGGAGATATGACTATAAACATAATTGGAGACATGACTATATTTGCTGTCAGTTGGCGATGGGAACATGTGGCTCTATAAACTTAATTGCAGCTGCTCTTCTAGTAGGTGGGAAAGGCCCTTCTGCTTAGACCTAAAACATGGGAGGTCATTTTGATCAAAAGAAATGTGTCTCTTAAAATGTCAAATATCCATGCATATGGTAGTTAAAATCCTGTCCAATAACGCATAATTGGGGGGCGAGTGGTATATGCATTCATGTGAAATCATTCATGAACAGAGTAATTCAGAATCAGGAAATCCAAAATTTAATGAGAAGCTCTAAAATTGCTTGAATTAGCTTCCTGATCTGAGATTCATAGTGCATATTGGGATCTGGACTCATAAAAATTCTTCCTTTCTAATTAAACAGAAGGAAAAAACAGTTTGAAGCAGTAAATGATTTCCACGCACAAAGTTGCACCTGACAATTAAAGAATAAACCTATTATCACTTAAAATAATGTGAAACCATTCGAATTTAGTCTATTCCCTTTTCAAAGATGTTGCACTGTGCCGTCTGTGCAAACACCAAGTCCATAGCTTCATCCCAATAACTAATATCCACTTAATTTATACAGTTGAACAAAGCAGCAGTTCCTCCTTGTAAAAGTAACTCCACTATTAGTACACCACATCTTGCATACAAGGGGAAACCTACAAAAATATGGCATATGGAACTAGGTGTAATAAAAATACAATAGGTTACCTTTCATAATTCGTAATGATATTACCAATTTCTTTTTTATTCTGACTTTGTCTAAAACACATAATCAGTTTGCACAAAACGTATAATTAAAAGGACAATTAGCGAACAGTTCTACCGTTCCATTGCTTGAAAAAAAAAAAAAACTCAAAATGTTACCTGAATTATTTATTTATTACATTAAGATAAACAAAACTTCAAAATTGTGAAGTATGATGTTTAAGCCCCATGAGATGACAGGCTTTTGTCTTAAATAACTCCGATGGTTCATAGCACTGAAACTTTAACAGCCACATAAGACTAGATATTTCTGGAGTAGGACAGTCCAAGTATATAAAAAGCCCCTGATCTTCTTTTTCATAGCAAAATGCCAGTTCTTAAACTAAGTGTTTCTAAATGCACACATTAGGCTTGAGCTACTAGCACAGAGGGGTCTTAACAAAATCATACATATTCACTTAGCAAAAAAGAGCACCAATGATGGAATACGTGATTGAATTTCAAAAGTAAAAGAAATGCCTCAAATTTCTGCATTAAAAAGGTCCACTAATTTCTTCGAGTTAATGACTGTATACGTCCAAATTGAGCTGGAACGATCTTATATTTCTCAAGGGGACTGTAACAATTGTTAAACCTAAAGAGAAAGATAAAAAAAAATTTTTATAACTAGAAAAGAAGAGTCGCAATGACCAAAATCACAACTAACCAGTGAATGGAAAGTTTTTCTTAAACATCAAATTACATGCATTCAAGCAGTATTTTCTATTCTTATCAAAAAGATGTATTCAAGAAGTAAAATAATGTATAAAAGTTCAACTTATTGAAATGCGAAAGACAGAAAGGTTTTGAATCAAACTTCTGATATGATAGGGAACAAGGACAATCATTTAGTTCACATTTAACCATTTCAAAATTTGAAGCTTAAGAGATATCTTATACTGTACATGTCATTCATGCGAAACTAAATTCCCAGTAATGAGTTTCTCTTTTTACTCTTCTTTCTCCCATTTGTGAAATTTCTTGATTATATTTATTGCCACCCAGTTGAGTAATTAACAGTTCTCTGAATCAGAGATCCCCAGACAATACGTACCATATTTGGGATGTCATTAATAGTCCAGTTCTCTGTATATTCCGGGATGATTATTGTTAGTAGTCCAAGCTCAATAATGTGTAAGACAAACAGCATTAAGTGAATATCAGTACCCTCATTGAAATGACATCTCCATTTCCGTACAAAATTGTCCAAAACAACTAGAGTATTTTCCTTCACTCACACCATCATGAGCCTCAAAAGCTTGCTATAGGAGCATATGAAAAAGAAAATATTTCGAAAAAAGAATAACAACAGAAAACAATTCGTGGCATGAATCAACAGTTTTGACAGTATTAATGTGAAGTAGGAAAAAATGTAAGAAGTGGAATTTGAGAAAGCAGAAAAAGGTGAATAAAATAACTAATCTAAAGCTCACATATTAGAGCAAACTGAGAACCTAAATAGCAATGGAAATGTTTTAATCATTCAATTACAAGTTTAAATACATGTCAAAAGAGTTAAAAGTTTAAACTAGTAGTGTTTTCTAAGCTCCACTGCCAAAAACATAATTAAACAACCAATATCATACTGGAGTTTCACCCTCTTGCACCTAAAGGTTCATGCTTCAAGATTATAAACTGTATCATTGGAGACAACTTCGCTCCATAGAGTAATTGTGAATTAGTATATTATTCTCTATCATTTAACGCACAAGTTATAACACCACAGCTTTTTTTTTTTGGGTGGAAATAACTTATAACACCAAAACTTTTAAATCTATCCTCTGCCAATATGCAACCAGAAATAAAAGACATAAGCAGGCTAAATGATCCGATTCTGAATTCTCATACTCCCATTATTCCATCATATAGCATTAAGCTGCTTATAGGTAAATATGCAAGGATTAAGTAGAATCGAAAAGATATAATATATTTGTACATCTTTCATATATAAAACACTAAACCAGCACTTGAACAAGGCCCAGCATAACTACCTCTGATCTAGCTGAGTTCAGCTTGTAGTTCAATTACCAAAAAGAAACATGATAATTAACACGGTAAGTATAAATTTCCCTGAGTTTTAACCAAAGGTGACTCGAACTTAACTCTCTTTTCCACTTCAGCCTCAAAATAATAACAAAAATGATTTTAGTGCAAACAGAGAACACATATAGAACTACTTAAATCTAAACAGAACATTACGATTATCAAGTTTAAGCTCTATTTGGATAAACTAAACAGTAGTTAAGTCATTAAACAAAAGAGAAATTAAGGATTAGAGAGGGAGAAAGTAGGAGAAATTTAATTTGACCGGCTGAAACAAAGTAGGAGGGAAGTTTATACCTATGGCCAGAATCCAACGATTTTTTAGACGAGAAGCCACTGTGCACTCTCGGATCAAACCCCGTCTTTTCTCTGGCTTTCTCGCTTCATTCTCCTGTTTGGAAACCAAGGAAATGAAAGGACAAAAAGGTACAAAAACAGGGCGAGAAACCAACATTTTTTCAAGCGCGAAAATATTACTCGCTTTGGGATCAAACAGCCTGCCTTTACCCTCATTGTTTGGCTCTCAGCCCCTGTTTGGAAACCAAGAAAACGAGAGGAAAAAAAGAAATTATTTCTTCATCTGTATATTACTAATTTTAGACAAAAATAATAATAATAATTGAGTAAATTGCTTAAATAACAAAAAATTATAAAAATAAAAAAAAAAAGAAATTATATCTCCTCTTAAAAATTTAATAATTATTATTATATATATATATATATATCTATTGGAGTATTGTAGTTTATAATGAGTAACTAAATAATCTTAAATAACTAAAAGTTTCAAATAATTGCAATGCTTGATGTCTTTGAGAAAGACTGATAGTTTTGAAATTTCCAAATTTGAAGGCTAAGCAGAGTTATTATATTACATACTTGGTTTATGTTTAAAATTGTTTAGTTCCCTCCTTCTGTAAAACTTAAAATAAATGTTTACTCAAATTTGACATTATTAATTAAAAAAAAAAATACACCAAAGTTATTTTTATGTTGAAATATATCTTTAAAGTTAATATATTTTACTTTTGCAAATTTAAGCACTAAGAAAATTCATGCCATTTTTATATGGTTTTTACATAAAATTATCAAAAATATTTGATCTCATCATTTATAAACAAATTTATTATCATATCTCTTATTAATTATTACGAAATAAAAACTAATTTTAATTTATTTAAATAAAACAAAAAATGATTCATCTGGGTCATCAATAATAAATTTATTATCTTATAATATATAGAGATTCACTTAGGTTCTTTATTTTCATGAAAGAATACAAAAATATATATATAATTTAAATACTATATTCTAAATTTGTGTGATGTTCTGTATAATTTAGAATCCATTATTTTTTACTTAAAAAGTATATTTTTATATTTAGTAAAATTTCTTATTACATTAATTTTAAACATTTAAAATTTATGTGAATTTATAAATAAAAACACCCATAAACTATCTCCAAATCTTTTTATTTTGATTTTGATTTTGATTTTTTCAGATGGTAAAAAGAGAACTTATACTATATTACATGCAGCAGCTATAAACTTGCGTTAATACTACAAGAAACAGTATTATTATGAAACTATAAATACAACCCCCCGAACCACTCATTCAGACTCTAAAACTGCGAATCGTCCTTAAATCAGTAATAGTTTATAACGAAGCTATAAAATCATGCAAATAATGGTTCACATCTCACTAAAAAATGTGAAAATCTTTACAAATTGGGCATGGTTTTTTTCAATATGATCCAAGACTATGCGTTCGCTGAAACGGATTCTTCTAGACTATCTTCATAAATGTCAGCGTCTCAGACCTTTTAAGCAAATCCATGCTCAGTTAGTGACTGGTGGTTTTCTTCGCGACGACTCGGTGGTCAACAAAGCTGTCGAGTTCTTCGGAAAATCTGCCAATCTTGTGAACTATGCGTGTGATTTTCTTAAGCACGCCGATGGGCCCATAAGTTCATTCCCGTTTAATACGTTAATTTCGATATACGCTTCTAGCGGCAGGCCCCAAGTGGCTATTTTTTTTCATAGACGGATTTTGAAGGATGGGTTTGTGCCTGATATGTACACATTTCCCGCGGTGTTGAAATCTTGTGCTAAGTTTTCGGGGATGGGAGAGCGTATGCAGCTTCATGGAATGGTTATTAAGATGGGTTTCTTGCGTGATATATATATCCAAAATTCACTTGTCCATTTGTACGGTGTCTGTGGAGACTTTGGTGGTGCTAGAAAGGTGTTTGATGATATGTCTGTTAGAGATGTGGTCTCTTGGACTGGAATTATGTCCGGGTTCGTCAGAGCAGGATTGTTTGAGGACGCAGTGGCTTTGTTTTTGAGAATGGATGTTGAGCCAAATATTGCGACGTTTCTTTCCGTGCTGGGCTCTTGTGGGAGGCTGAGTTATTTGGATATGGGGAAGGCAATTCATGGTTTGGTTTTAAAGCGGGTGTTTGGGACGGGTTTGGAGGTAAGTAATGCTCTGATGGATATGTACGTCAAATGTCAATCGTTGTGTGAAGCGAAGCAGATTTTTGATGAGCTTCAAGAGAAGGATATTGTTTCTTGGACGAATATGATAAGTGGATTGGTGCAGTGTAAGCGTCCCAAGGAGTCACTGGAGTTGTTTCACGACATGCAGACATCAGGTGTTAAACCTGATGAGATCGTACTTACCAGTGTGCTCTCAGCCTGTGCAAGCCTTGGAGCTCTTGATTGTGGTAGATGGGTTCATGAGTATATTGACCGGATGGGTATCAAACGGGATATGCATATAGGAACTGCTTTGATTGACATGTATGCAAAATGTGGATGCATAGAGATGGCATTGCAGATATTTAGTGGAATGCCTAGCAAAAATGTTTTTGCATGGAATTCCTTGTTAGGTGGTTTGGCACTGCATGGACATGGTCATGAGGCAGTCAGATATTTCAAAGAAATGGCTAGGATTGGCATGAGGCCTAATGAGGTAACATTTCTTGTAATTTTGACAGCTTGTTGTCACTCAGGTTTGGTTGATGAGGGTCGTAGATATATCTATGAGATGACAAGTCTCTATAATCTTTCTCCTAAGTTGGAGCATTTTGGATGCATGGTTGATTTGCTCTGTAAAGCTGGACTTTTGAATGAAGCTTTACAGCTGATAAAGATTATGCCTATGCTGCCTGATGTGCGGATATGGGGAGCAATTCTTAGTGCTTGCAAATCTCATGGAAATCTGGAACTACCCCAAGAAATTCTACATGATCTCCGGGAGCTTGAGTCTCAAGATAGTGGTGTTTATGTGCTTCTTTCCAATATATATGCCTCAAATAACAGCTGGGCGGATGTAAAAAGGATAAGGAGATCCATGAGGGAAAAGGGTATTATAAAGGAACCTGGGTCAAGTGCGATTGAAGTGCATGGCAAGGCTCATGAGTTCATAGTTGGAGATAGTAATCATCCTCAAAACACTGAGATTCATGAACTATTAAAAATTCTCACTAGCCAAATTTATCTTGAAGGGCATTTCACACACTCATTCTTGATAAGATAAGTATACCTTTTCCTTTTTCAGTTAAAATGAATTTTTATTTTCTTCGTTCACATTCTATATGTGATATCTTTACAACTTGCTACCAGTTTTTTCATCATGCTTTCTAAGTTGATTAATGCTCAGTGAGTCTGTCTTAAAGGATATTTTCCATGGAGACACATTTAACCGCTATAAGAGCTAAAGAATTGTGCATAAGGTTTATGCAATCTGTGGGATGCATAATTTGAATTTGGATC